TCTACACGGGACACAGCCCGAGCCCCGCCTTCTCCTGTGCTTTACGGGACCAAAGTTTTCCACCATTGTTCTCCCAGGTACATGGGTAAATAAATCTGTTTTCAAGATTGTAAAGTGCCACGGGATTGCAAGATAGCATGCTGTTGTTGTAGCCGAGGTTAGAGTAATGCCATCTTGCTTCATTGTCACTGGAGTGCGAAATGGGTTGAAGCAATTTCTCCAAAAGGCAAATAACTTTTTATAATATCTGACTTAGCAGGCATGAAAATGTGGGAGAGCACTTACAGAGCACATTTTCCTTTCTGATCAAAGGTTTATTTAATTTCTACTCAAGGCCAAAGAGGCTTTACGAAGACTTTTTTCAACATGTGATATTTTAGTGCATGAAATATCTGAGTACACAATATCATTCATCCACATATTATCTGACTTGCAAGAAGAATTCATTTGGTTGTATACTTGGGAATTCTGGTCAGATTTCCTCTCGCAATTCAAGAACCATTCATTTTACAGTCATGGAATGAGCGGGGTGGATCCTGGGATTTAATCTTCAAATATGTTAAGCTGAGGAAGTTCATGCCATCTCTTCCTGGGTGGGACATTAGACTAATTGTAAAGGCCGCGTGCTAGGAAGGTTAGAAGGCTCTACGTGGAGGTGATGGAAGCCCCACGCTGTTCCTGCAGACACAGGTCTTAGGCTCTGCTGGGGGCAGACGATCTTCCATGCTGACGGCCCAGCCGGTCTGCAGGGAGCTTGCACTCTCCTCCCCCACACCCGCCATGAGCATTTTCTCCAGCCAGGCCTACCACGCTCCCCTGTACCCCTGCCTCCAACAGAAATGCCTCTGCGAGACTGGGCCTCAGGAAGGCCAGCTCAGGCACAGAGTCCCAGGGGAGCCACGTCCCGCACAAGCTGCTCCACACACTTTTTGACGAAGCTGCATGAACTAAGATCCCGTGCCAGCACTCTAGTGGGTGGAACTGCCACATTCGCGGCAAAAGTGACGGAGGCATGACCCTGCCTGACCCTGTCTGTGGACTTGGCAACACCTTAGCGCTCACAAAGCGCCAGCCAGGCACAGTGCTCAGTGAGAAGGCAAAGCTACGAAGCAGGCACAGCAAGGCCATGTGACCCCACGTGCTGGGCAGACC